GTCTCAGATTTAAAAACTTGCATTGAAATGAGGAGTTTTCTCTAGCTGGAACTGTAGTATACAGTTCTAAGTCAAAGCACAGGATATGTGTAGTCTGTGAGGGGAGTATATGCTTTTTCAGGGATTTATCAGCTATAGAAATAATTCTAAAAATGAATTTTTCTTTTCCTTTATAATTTGATAGTATTTTCCTATTGCAGTTCTATTTGATACTTTGTCTTCAGTCCAAAAAGCAAAAAAATGTTTGGGGGTTATTTTGTTCTCTGAATTGAAGTCTCTGTTATATAGGATAACTAAATCCTGGACACAGGTAGTAGATAAGAAAAAACAAAAGCAAATCCCATGATTGATATGGGGGACTCTGTAGGAGTTTCTTTACAAAAGGATTTTTTTTTCTTTTGCCAACACAAAAGAGAAACCAATCTTGAATATGAAAGTGTATATATACTGAGCAAGGATGCTGCAGCTCCATGTTTCTAACCTGCTTTTGTATATTTTTCAATAATTACTCACGTAGCTTCTTAGAATTATGAAGTATATGTTTGGTGTGTAAAGTAATATCAATTTTTTACTGTGTTTTCAGGAATGGCAAATGTCTGCATGAACTTGAGTTTTTCTAGGGGGTAGATCTTTGGAAATGGTCTCTACTGTTTCAGAAAAACACCTGTAACTGCTGGGAAAGTCTTGTTCAAAGTTCACTGGCTTGAGCATTGTTTGATCTATGGACCTCAGCTTAAATTCTAGTATGATGAGGATTAGAGTGTTAGAGAGGGTAAGGTAGCATGATTTCTCACAATATTAGGAATATATCCATGTATTTCACATGCTCTTTCATTGCAGAAGAGAAACAATGACTTCAGTTTTATTTATTTGTTTATTTGTAGAAAATGGAATAATCAAATCAGACAAGGTATTTGAAGTAATGCTGGCTACCGACCGTTGCCACTATGCAAAATACAACCCTTATATGGATTCTCCACAGTCTATAGGTAAGAGCATCTTGTAAATGATTGAGATTGTTCTAATTTGCATAATTGTGACTGCCTTTGTCATGTATATGTTAAGAATGCAAACATAATTATTTAAATTTGGAAGCTTGTTTAGTTCTTTATCAGTTTATTCAATATCTTTCAACTAAGTTTCAATTTGTTATGGAATGCAATTGTCATACTCACATATATCAAGTAGACAGATGTTCTTTATTCAATATTGATATGTGTAAATATGTATTTATTTTTTAAACCAGCAACTTGTGGTAGTGCAGCTGATGTTTAAATACTGAAATTGTTTGTATCCAGTTTACGTCGAAAACAGTCTCTCTCTTTATGGAAATGCTTCAGTTGAGATTAGTGCGGAGTTTCTTAAACCTTTACATGAGATTTTTTTTGTGTGTGTATGAAAATAGGCTTTAAATGGGAAGATCTACTGATAGGACAGTTGTTTCCCATCCAGACCCCAGTTTTACCTTTCCAAGGCAGGAGAATGAATTATGCGAATGTACTACCTTCTTTTTTTCTTGATTGCCCATCATTAATAGTGAGTGGTGAAAACTATGAATTGTATTAGGATTTTATTAGTTGTATAGGAAAATTCAAAAATCTTTTAATATACTTAGTCAAAAGCTTATATATTTCCACAGAAACAAATATAGGTGAGTGTTCCTCCATGTTTTCTCATAGGCGTGTGCTGTTTGCAAAATAGATGAGGTTATTGCTCCAGAAGTTCTGTGGTCCCCACCACATCAAACTCAAACTAACTAATTAGGTTTTTACACAGGGACTGAGTGAAAAAGGCGTTACATTATTCTGGGAGACATTACTCTTCTGAATTCAGCATACTTGATGAAGCTAAGACAATATAGTGAGAAAAGGGACATTGTAACTGAGATCAAGGATAGAATTTTTTTTTCCTGTCTAGAGTTGACATGGCATAGCTCTCAGATGATGTACCTTAGCTCACTTCTGAAGTAGAGTACCTGTGTAACCATTTGGGTGGGTGGGTGTAGTGCCCTGAATGTGAGCAACAGTTGAGGTATTACATTTTATGGTCAAGATAAAGTTTGTAAGTTCTGAACAACGATCAACATGTTCTTCCATTCTCTTGTTTTACAGGTTTCCAAGCAACAATCAGTGCTCCACATATGGTAAGATTTAAACTTATGTGATTAGTATAGGTGATTTTATAAACATCCAAATGCTTCTGAAATAAAATATTTATCTTAGTAAAGTTAATGAACAGTTGATTGCAGTGGTGCTGTTGTGAACTGACTAGTAGGAGGGCACAGAGAAGATTGAGCCAGACTTTTCTTGGAGATGCACACTGCTAAGATGAGGGGTAGTGGAAAAAAAATGCAACACGTGAAACTCTGATTAGTTTCTAGGTTGAAAAAGAAAAAAAATCACATTCAAGATAGTTAAGGTTTTACAGATTGTGGAAATACTGTTCTTTGATATATAAAGCAGCTGACTGGACAGGGCTCTAAACAGCCTAATTTAAATTGCCCCTGTGTTGAAAGAGGATTGGACCACAGGATTTCCAGAGATGCTTTCCAAACTAAATTACTCTGACTCTGTAATTTATAAAAATACAAGAATTTAGGAGTGGATAACTGTGATTTCTATGGTATGGTATTGCTATAATGCCTTTAATACTTTGGACAGGAAAAAAAATTGTACTGACATGCAGGGGTTTTTGCCAAGTGGTTTGAGACAAGGGTATTCATGACATAAATCTAGCACAGACATAATTTTTCTGTGTTTCTTTATTTGAGATGAAGGATAAATAGAAGTGTATGTTCTTGCAATGTTTGGAACGTGTCAAAACCTAGTAAGTCTGTTCCTCTTGACTAAAAACTACCTAGTTGGGTTAGACTTTACCTAGTTATCAATATTAAAAAAATCAGGAATTTCATGTAGAAATATTAATGATTTTATTAAAGGAAAGACATGCAAAGAAGTACTGTGGCTAAGTGAGAAAATAAGTATTAATTATGTTTTCAAAATTTTAACTCACCTAAGTCATTATCCCTGAATTATCCTATGCTTAGCACTAGTAGTATATGAAGTGTTAGAGCAAAAAGAAAATATATCCTCTGAGCAAATGTTAACAATACATGTTCTAATTATTTCTGTTTACCCGGTGTGATGGATTAAGTTGTAAGAATGTCGTAACAACTATGTCTGAAATATTAAAGAACGAATTGTTTTTTTTCAGTGTGTGACCTAAGTTTAGTTTATGTACTGGTCCACCCTGTAGCAAAGCAAAACTGCTCATGAAGTGTGTCTGTAGACTACTACCTTTCATATATGAGCCTGTCTGCCTTTGTTAAAGACAACCTCTTTTTCCTATCCTTTGATTCAGCAAGTGTGCAGGTAACATGGGGTAATTTTAATAGTCATTTTCCTTGATGCTCCGAAACTCCCTTCTTCCTAACTAGCCTCTGTTCCAGCATACTTCAATGTATATGGCATAATGATCAGCTAAGTTGTTTATGGGCTATATACTGCTGGAACAGTAAGAACCACCGGACCTGAAGAGAGTTAAATTGATTTATGGTGTCTCTCCCAATAACTATATCTAAATTGAGTGTATGCTAGAAGCTGGAATAGTCAGATGAGTTTATTTCTATATATACTAAAAAAAATTATATATATACACACACATAATTTGTTGAAATCAATGAAACAGCAATGATTATATCATGTACTTAATGCCCCCCCCCTTTTTGTAATAGAAAATAATTCTGAAATTTCTTAAACGAATCCTCAGTGCATTGCTCAAAATCACTGAAGAACATATATTGGGTAAAATAGACACTTAAAATATTTTGGAATTTTCTGTCTCTGTTGTCTTCTCTTAGCATGCATATGCTCTTGAACTTCTGTCTGATCAGTTACATGAAGGAGCCAAAGCACTTGATGTAGGATCTGGAAGTGGAATCCTTACAGCATGCTTTTCACGAATGGTGAGATATTTAGTTTAATCACTTGACCATCAGAAATGCTTGAACTGCAGCATAACTGAATTAAAGGGGAGAAAAAAAAAAAGTATCCTTTGTACAGTGGACTGATGTAGATTATACAGAAAATAATTTACTCTCCTGGGTGTGATTAGTACCCATTTCTTACCATAGCTGATACTAGATGTTTGAGTTAAAAGGTCCAGTAAATCATGTGATAGTGAAGAAACTGCCTAGAGGGGAAGTTTTTTTTCCTTGATTACATTTTAGTGCTTGCTTTATAGCTTAAAGGAAGGAGATGTTTGTCTTGTCCAGCCCAATTTTTACATTATTCTTGTGTGGCTATGAATGTTCTCATAATCAATTGTCATGTCTTCCCACTATGATGACAGCTTAGCGAGACCTAAAAGAATCCTGTTTCCATAGGAAAATATATTGTATGTGTATAAATTGTCTTTGAATTTAATTTCTTTTTTTTCTTGTTACTATATTGCATGAGCATCAGTGTAAGTATCCATTTAATATTTTCTAAGTTAGATATTAATTTATATTCTTTTTACATCCTTTTCAAATAACTTAATCTCTGGGTTGTTCAACCTATATGTAAGGAATTCTCTGTTGTTCCACCCTATATTACATCAGGAAAAAAAGATGAAAAAATTTGTTTTATGATGGCTGTAACTACAGCACTGTTAGATTAATTTATGTAGCGGAATATAATTGGTGGTTCTTTCTCCATTCCAAGACTTTATTATTGCTTTCTAACTAGCAGATATCTTCATTAATCTGCCAACTAGATTTTTTTTATATATATATA